CTCCTAGCAAGGTATGTCCGAGGGTCGCTTGGGACTTGGGAGGTGCAGAGTGGTGAATTAGTGCATCGGGTCCCTCAGGAAGGTGTTGCGGTCAGTGGAGAGGTGGGAAGATTTGGTTGTTCCAAATGCACATATAATTTAATAAGCATATATACATCCCATGTATATGCAGCCTACAAAATATATGCATCGAAGTATTCATCTCTGCAGTTTTTAGGTTTTTCTTTTTTCTTGGTACCTTAGGCTCACATGGGTAGGAATAGGATATAAGCAAAGAGTAGCACGTTTGTTCAGGATTCATTTCTCCATCTGATATTTATCATGTTGGTTCCGGAATCTGCTTTGATGCGTAAAGTCCAGGATTATTTTCTCCACCCTGTTATTAATTCTAGGAGCATCTTACATATTTTATAAAATAAGGCATGTGCAATCATCGATCTGTTTTTGTTTTCCCTAGGAAGGGCATTGTAACTATATCATGGTCAGAACATCGACCCTGTTAGTAATTTGGTTTAAAGAGTTTTGCTTCTGTACACCTCTTAAATGTTTGCACGAATCTTGAAGTTACTAAGAGTACCAGATAACAGGTCCTGGTTCTACAAAGAACTCCTTCGTATGTGTGACCGCAAACTCTTCTTTTTCCAGTATATAATGTTCATAACATAAACTCATGCTTGCTGAATTTGATAGGTGAAATGTGGAGTAAGAGGAGACACCAGACCAAGATGCAATGAATATTTTGATTCGTGGTGATTGGGCAGATGACTATCAACACCAACTGCAGCATCGTCCATCTTGCGAGCATACTACCAAGCTGCGCAGGTATGGAAATGCCATGTTGTGTTTTTTGTGAATAACACCTTTTTATCTTCATCTTGATAAGTCACTGCATTTTGTGTTTTTGCACTGTGGTTCAGTATGAGAGATAGAATAGTTAGTGTAGGAAACTTATGTACGAGGGGCTCAGATTCAGTTAGTTTTTATGTGAGAGTGCATATGGTGTTGTTGCTACGAGTCTGCTGGTCAGTAACTTCCAGTTGGCTTCATCTACAGGGTTAAGGAGGAATTCACCAAGAAATAAAAACGGAGAAGAGGCCGTAAGTGCTACTACCAATAGCCTCAAACAAGAAAATGGATACTTTCCGTGATATCTGTGCAATATTTCAAAAGTTTTAGCAAGTGTCTAATCATATAACGTGAATAACAAATTACTATTAGTATGAGCAATGTGCATGGTTCAGAAAAGAGTAAACAATGTGAGTTACTATTCTATTACAGTGGATATCTTCTTTTTCCAGGCCTAAGCTTAAAGAACAAGTGAGGTATTGTGACCAACACCCTGAGGAGATTGACACACTTGTAGAAGTGAAGGCTCAGTTTTCAGAGACGAAGAAATGCCGCAAAACTTCGAGAAGGTGCGTGTCTATTGTACTTTCAGTCTGATAGTGACTGATTCCTATGGGGTTATTTCCGAAACTTTGTCCTGTTTGCTTATTTCCTTACAAGTTGTAATCTAACCTTGAACTGCTTATCAATAGCTGAGCTTCAGTTAAAACTACTACAAAAACGTAAGAAAACTCTTAATATTGTTGCTCGATTTTGCAACTTCCATCTCAACCTAAGCTCGTCAGACCCACTTAGAGTATGCGAACTTCTACTGTTTGCATTGGTGATTGGCATCACCGATCTACTACAGATCTTGATCTAGCTGAAGCAGGGAGCAATGCCTAGCTGTAGATGTTGGCCCTTCTTTATGAAGATAAGTTTAGCCTTTAGGCAAAGCAAAAGTTAAAAAATTAGTGCAATTTCTTGATTGTTTTATTCTGCGTTCTTATTCCAGTACAATTTCAGAAAATTAGTACCCATTATCTTTTAAAGGGGAGATTCATAACCAACCCAAATTAGTGCCCCTTCAAAGTCACTTGGCGTTTTCTTCAAGTGGATGGCGGAGGCGGCGGCAATCACTCGAGGTGGCTGGGGCACCTCGGGCTGGGGGCTTTGCGCTGAGTCCAGGGCAGCTCCCTGGCCGTGCGGTGGCAACCGACAACCCCATCGCTGGTGGTGCTGGCAATGGTGTGCATGGTGGCGGCCGCGGATCTGGATGTGGTGGCAACCGACAACCCCATGGCTGGTGGTGCTGGCGATGGTGTGCATGGTGGCGGCCGCGGATCTGGATCCCATCCAGATCCGTCGTTGATTCTTCACGTGGATGGTCGGTGGCGCGATGAGGGCCCCGGTGAAGGGATGGAGGGTCTCCAGCGGAGTTTCGACGGCAGCATACGTCTTTATGGAAAAGCTCCGCATGGTTCTAGCCAGCCGCGAGATAGGGACGACACGGCTTTCGGTGAAAACCGCGTCTGACTGCGGTCTTGGCGGACGATGGCGGTGTCTCCGATGTCGTTTCCTTCTCAAGGCCTTGTCGTTGCAGGTCACGTCAACTCGATCGGGATGTTCTGGGGGAAACCCTACATCTGGGTCTACCGGATCGGACAACGACGGCACCTTTGGTGCCGTTCTCCCTCCTGGGGGCATTGTTTTGGATCAAGTGCTGGCTAGAGGGGACAAGAGGGGGAACGGTGTTACATCTATTGCAAGGCGCCACGGAGTTCCGGCGACGGGCATGTGTGGATGGATATGTGCAGGATGGTGGCGTTGTCTAACGCCGTGGTGGCATTGACGATAGGCCTGGCATGGTGGATGCGTCAGTACCTGCTCTGGAGATGGATCGACATCGACAGAAGACGGCGGCGGCTGCAAGCTGAGATCGTTAATACGGATGTTAATTATGTCGAGATTGCTTGCAGATCAGCGGCGTCAGGTCTGGAGATGCGGATGCCCCTACATAGCGTGGCGCCAGTGGCACGTCGGGGATCCTTCATCACCCAAGGTAAACCTGCGCTTGACTTCCTTCCTTATTCCCCTCATGTTCCGATGTTTGTTAGCTACCATTAGATTGGATCTTGGTTCTCTATGTGAATGGTTGTACATAGTAAATTTTGGTGATCTATTTTGGACTAATGAGGTTTCTAGGGTCAATTAGTATGGCACAAACTGTGTTGGTCTTGAACGTATGTATGCTTTCTCAAATTGTATTGATTCCCTTCCAGGAACAAACGCAATCGGCACTACTACATTACTGCAGTCTGCACATGCTGTGTTGAGGGGATTGGAGGAATTGGTAGCACGCCATAAAATTTTGCTTACCTTCTCTAAAATCATGCTTGTTTCATTCATTGCTTCACATCACCAAGTTATTGGTGCGATTGAGGTATGCATCTTTTTTTAGATAATAGAAGGTATGTATCTAAACTTCTAAAGAAACACGCTATGTGAATTAACTATGTACTATATTTGACGAATTGTCGTGTAAGCTTTGTAGTTCAGAAAAATATCTTGTTTCTTACAGTACATCATGTGGTCAGCACAATGGAGAAACAAAAGAGAACATCTATCATTTAGTTCAGTAATATCATATTTTAGGCGTTGTCATTTTATGCGTGTTCAGAAAGTTCCCGTATTAAATTTATCATTTCATAAATATACTATGACTCTGAAGGTTGTTTATTTTATATTATTCTTGCCCTAATTCCATCACATCATTAACAAGCTCATTGCTTCTAAGAAGTGCACCCATGTAACAAGCTTCTATAACTTGTATTTTTTTGGTACAGTCCAAGCTTGTTTGCACTACTGGATGCCGCTCCATTTAACTCCATGTGCTGTTTGGTAAAAACCGATTCACGTTTTACATCCAAAAGTTGTATTCTTTGACACTACAAAATGCACGCCAATAATTCTTCATGCATTTTGTTTTATAGCTCACACTACCATATTATATATTGGAAATATTCAATAACATAGGATTCCTTTTTCACTTTATACTTACACAGATGTGCAAGAGAGAAGGTTTGCGTATGGTTCAATGCAACTAGAACAGGCTGGTGGGGGAGGGGGGTGGGGGTCGATTTATGTTCGAGAAGAAACTTTGGGTTCTCCTTTTATGATTGTACTTTTTATTTCGGAATAGGATATTCCAAAGTAGAAATATCTTATGAAAGATCTTGATGGGTAGACAACAAATATACAGGATAAGCATGTGTGGTAATGTTGGATCAATGAACAACAATTTCGGTTTCAGTTTGATTTACGCCTATGTATCATCATACCCTTAATTTTTAAAAACATAAGTTCAAAATTATATTTATATGATTTTGGGTGGGTGGGTGGAGGGGGGGGGGGTTAATATTTGCCGGTCTATGCCTACCAAAAGAGCGTCATGTTACTAACAGAAGAGTGCCATGTTACTTTGTATCCTGTCATTTCAAGTCCTTGGAAATTCTAAATCATGTTCTAATGTTGGAAATGTTGTTTTTTCTTTTGCAGATTTTATAGGGGTAGAGAGTTTGTGCGAAAGTGCAGGGGCGCCGGTGGTACAGGTTGAATTGAACCCATGGAAGATTTCAACTCATAATCTTTGCTGTCAATCGTACACAAAAGTTCCTGATTTTTTTAACCTGTCTTGGAGTAAATTGCCATTTCTTTTTTAGATT